GGCGAAATATCAGATTTTTGCCTGGGGACGCAAAAAAAAAAAAAGCGCCCTAAACACGAAGTGAAACATGATCACTGGGCAAAACAGTGGAATCGTTCTGTATTTCCGTTAACCACCCGTGACATCCACCACTCACGCATGTAAATGAGTGCCAAGCGGTGTACAGTTACATACAATGTTTATTGGTCAATCACTCGTGACACTGACCACTCACACACGTAAATGAGTTCCAGGCTTCTAATCCGCTTTTCATCGGAGCCTTGGCGACCTATTTAATTAGACCTTGCGTGCTTTACCGAGAAGCGGCAACCAAGAAAGGCGACAGACTGATCCGGAATACGTGCAAAGATTCCCACTCTAAGGCCGCGTTCACACTGAGCATTCCGGCCGCCGAAAGTGCTCTGAATCCGGTTCGGCGGCGGCGAGATCCGCCGAAAGGGCTTTTTCCGCACCAATCGCCCTCGGACCGATTTTTGCGGCGTCTGCCGCCGAATCGGTCACCGCGGACCAATAGGAGCGCTAGTCAAGGAATTTTGAAAAATGGCGGCCAAGCCCTACTCACTTGTTATGCTGCAGTGCACGTAACTGAATGTTGAAACCAACGGGAGTTGAACCTAATCTGCGCCTACTTCGCCTCCATATTTCGTGAAAGAGGTGACCGAGCTTGTTGCGGTCTTGCAAAGCAACACGAACCCACCAACGCCGCTGGCGCCGGTGGTTTTTCTGCTCTTCGTGCATTACAAGACAGCCACTTGCCAGCAAAGTAAGCAGTACTGTTTTTTCTTGCTTCTTGCGTACGAGAATCGTCGAAGTATGCACCACTGGATAGCGTAGTAGCGTTTGCGAGCCGCGACAACAACCGGGTGACAGCGCATCCATCCCGCGTTCGCCCCGTAGTAGATGGCATATTCGTCGGCGCGGGGCGCGTCCAGTGCGAACGACGCTGTGTTTCGGCGGCAGGGGGGTCGGTCGCTGTAGAAAGCGGATGTTTCAGTGTGAACTAGGCTTAAGCGCGTGTTCACACTTGACCTCGAATGGACGGAAAGGGGCGAAACTCGGGGGAAAATTCACTCGCTCTCCTACCCAAGTGGCCGGAAAAAAAAAATCAATCTGAGAGTGATTTTCCTGATACGCAAATCCGGATCCGCTCTCACCTTCACTTTTGCTGCACATGGCGCGAACCACGTGATCTAACCAGCAAGCCGCAGATTCAATATGGCGGCGAAGGCGGTGGCCGGATTCAGCTCGAATCGCAAACTGCTCGTGCAGCTCGACGAAGCATGACAGCCTCAAAGACGACGTGTTTATCGAAAGCCTGGCTTTGATTACGGTCGCCGAGAACACTGTAAGTAGACGGTGCAGCAGCAGCGAGTCGGCATGCCCAAACGTGACTCGCGTTTGTGTGCAGCCGGTTGAATCCGCCCCCACCGCTGCCGGCGCGTTCGCCCGTGTCGTTTCTGCTGGCGTAACTACCAAAACAACGTTTAAAGATGTGCGAGCTGTTCCTTTTCAGTAAGTTGCGTGACTAACTAGAATTCGGTACGAAATTTAGTTCTCGGAAAGCAGGCAAAATAGAAATATATGTCCAGGTATACGATGTAAGCGGTGGCGGGGTGGGACAGAATGAATGTGAGCATCTTGTACGGGCGCGGTCGTGGTTTTCTGGCCGCTCTGACGTGTTTTCGTTTTCACTTCCCTTCTCAAGCGTAAATGTGGCCTAAATGTGTTACATTCGCTGTCTCTGAGCCAAGCCTCAAGAAACTATGGTGGTTGCTAAAGAACCCCAGGTGGTCTAAATTTCCGGAGCCCTCCACTACGGCGTCTCTCATAATCATATAGTGGTTTTGGGACGTTAAACCCCCCATATCAATCATTATGATGGTTGCTAACGTGACAGCTCAGCAGCAACTGCTCCTCGGCACAGTGCAGCTTAGTTGTAGCGCTTGCTGTGTTAATGACGTAGCAATAGTATCTTTAACGAAAACCTCACTGTCAGCGTGAACAGTTTCGCTATTAAAAAGTTCGCGTCATTTGGAGGTCGCAGGTTCGGTCGCTCCCCACGACGAAATATCTTTTCTTGCACTTTTTCTTTCGTTTAGTTACATTACAATTGCTTATAATAGATTTCTTGTGCATTATTTGGCATATTTGTTGGTTAGTTTTCACTAACAGTGTGTCTCACGAAGAAAACGAGTCCTTAGCTCTGCACCTGTTTACACCAATTAGTAATATTAGTATGTCGCGGCCGTATGCTGTTTTCCAGCTGGCGCTACAGTAAATATTTGTCAAGGAATTGTAACTAAAGTAAGGGTTTTAAATAGCTCTTCGATTAGTACGTTGGTCCAGCTGGTTTGTGAGCGATCGCTAAAGACCAGTATACAGAAGTTATTGTCTGCAATTCATCAACCATTGTACAATAGTGTTTTGGTTTTTTATGCGTAAACTTACTGCAGGTAGCTAACATTTTTTTTTACTTCAAGTGGTACATATTTGGTGTAGTGACAGTACATGGTTTTATATATACAACAGTAATAATGGTGTATTGTGTCGCGATGGCTGAATGATGAATTTTATACTTGAGAACGGTGCGAGTTTTATTGTCACCAGTTCTAGTGCCTTTCGCTCACTGAAGAACCGCACTTTATTTGTCAAATCTTAAGATATTCCGAGGCACTAATAATTATGTACAAACACAATGAAGCGGTAACACAGTTCGTAAGGGTCGTTTACGCATAAATTTAAACTCTTATCAGAAGAAAATGCGAAGACTTCGCAGATGAGAATCGCAGTAGCTAGGTTGAACCGGTTCTCAATTTTTCGCTGTTACTCTTCGTAGAATTGTTTCATTTCGCATTGCACCAGCGTAAAATGTGATTAGGTGTACAGTCTACGTCACCGTAACTCTGGTGGACTGCGAACGTCGTCCTGCCGGTGTTACATCGAACTCTGTGCTCATCTCAGTGAGATGCGTTGCGGGACAGCATTTGTCTCGATGTCTTTTCTCTGGCACCGTTGATTGCCAGGCCCGATTTCCAGCCTCGTTGATACGATATCAAGTGTCGAGCGCAGATTTAAGGTAGCAATCTCTGGTTGGCCACACTGAAGCTTGTGCGGTCGCGTTCCGCTTTTGGATAAGTATTTTCATTGTACGCGGTGACAGTGACGAAACGATTCGATTAATCGTTGCATCAGAAACAATTCATGAGCTTGGCCGAGACGATCTTAGTGCCCTTTCACTATCATTAACAATCAAAACAATTAGTTTGCCTTGATACAAGTGTATGTGCGTACACATCGCTATACACTTTTTCATTGTATGAATGTGTGCGATCCGGCTTGAAATAAATCATTCGTTCAAAGTGAGTGCAGTCGTAGTCCCACGTGAATAAATTTGCGGTGATCATTTCAGATATATAGATTTTGACAACACGGGTCGGGGGGGAAGGGGGTGGCTAATCAAGATGATCGATTAGGGCAGAATGTGTTTGCTGCGGCAAAACTTGAAGCCCTTCCCCTCCACACAAGAATAAAGAAAGCTACACGTGCGTATGGGGGCTTGCATGTTTTAGTAGGTCCGGTACTGTACTACGTCTTTGAGTACCGCGAAATACTGCGTGGCACTCCGTCGCGGTCCAGTGACTAAGGTACTCGGCTGCTGGTCGCGGGATCGAATATCGACTGCGGTGGCTGCATTTTTGATGGAGGCGCAAATGCTGTAGGCCCGTGTGCCAAGATTTGGGTGCCCGTTAAAGAACCCCAGGTGCTCGAAGTATCCAGAGCCCTCCCCTACGGCGTTCTCTCCTAATCATATAGTGGTTTTGGGACGTGAAACCCAACGTATGAGTCAATCGATCGAAATACCGCTTAGCGTAGCAACACACGCGAGCAAACTTTCACCCACGTACGCCCAAATAACAAGAACGACCGCGAACATGGGCACGAAGTGCAAGAACTAATACGCGTACACGAGGTGCAAGAAATATTAAGGTTTTCATCGTTGCCACAAGCTGTAACATTGCAGATAGTGTAAAGGCATTTTCGCAATGCCAAATTGTGCTTCTCGCTCGCTTTATTCGTCACAGTACAAGTGATAAACAAATCAGTGCAAATCACCGATGTCAAATGATGCCAGCTGTGGATTGCTAAAGAACGAAACAAAACTAGCAAACATGTAATCTTAACACTCCGAAATTTCGGAACCAATCTTGAACACTCCCTGAGTCTTCAGAATCAATGATTTCGAAATGGCGCTTGCAAACAGCGCCAACTTGATACAAATATTCTGACGTTGAAGCCGCAGGAGGAGAAACTAAACCAAATGCAAGTGTCACTTCGGAGCTTGCTGGCCACAGCACACACGACGGGCACTTGTTACATTCAAGGTGGACGGTAACTAGTTGCACAGGCTTGATCATATTTTTCTGGCGTTTTTGGGCATGCCGTGGGTCTCACCCGTTAATCACGCGCATACGTACCGTACACCTGGTATGCCCGAACATGCTTTGCGTTTAACAGAATACCGTATGAAAAAGTGTTCTTTTTATAAAGTTCTGGGGATGTTGCAGAAAGTTATGGGAAGCGATACGGTATACGGCACGGTATTACCTTACCGTTCTCCTCTAGTTTCTCGTGGTGATTTCACCATTCCAGTTGCGGTTCGCAGTTCTTCCGCTATAACAGCTGGTTCTTCGTTAACAAAGGGCAACGAAGAGGTGTGATGACCCTTCACTAAACTTTTAAAAGCATTTGTGTGGTAGGGGGGTGCATTCACTTGAATCAGGAGCGGCAAAAGCACAACGAGCCAGAAAGGATTGATTGATTGATTGATTGATAATAATTGATTTCGACCACCTGGAGTTCGTTATCGTGCACCCGAATCTGAGCACGCGGGCCTACAGCATTTTCACCTAACTAGAAAGGAGTAGTGGTACAGTGATACTATGTCCTATTTCTGTACCCGTTTCCGCAACTTCCTAGAAGGTTCCAGCATCATACTTTACCGTAGTCTCTCGGCGCTGATCTGTGCCGGCGGCTGGTCGAGGTGCCTCTGCGATCCGGGCACCGTAGACGGCGGGTCGGAGTACTTCTGCGAGCGGCGGAACAGGCGCCGCTTGAAGCGCTCCCTGGGCGGAGGCGGCTCGTTCACTGACAGCAGGTACGGGCTCTGGCAGAAGTAGTCGAACTCGTCCCAGTCCGCACTTGTCGGGTCGTATCGAGACGGAGCCACGGAAGAGGGCATGATGCACGGTTCGGTGGCCTCGCTTCCTGCAGGGACAGTAATGCGTGCTCATGGTCAGCTATGAGTAAGTCTCTACAGCGAAACGTTCAAATCACCCGCAGCACTGAATTTGGCCCCAGATGAGTGAATGGAAAGATCAGGCTGATTGGGTCATTCGAAACGTGCTTTAGCACGTTGTGGACCGGTGCCACGTCGGAACAAAAAGATTAAGTCTCTCTGCCGCAGTGCGGGCCCGTTTGACTACTGTTACCTGTTTTTAGAGTCCGGACCTATTAACATCCCCATTAGGATGGCGTGACAACTTCATCACGTAACGCGGGGCACCGCCAGAACGACGTGATACAAATTAGCTAAATCAGTGCAGAAGAAACAAGTATTAATCAGCTGGTTGTGTTTCTGGGTTAACCTTGCGCAGTTGCGCGGGTTTGAGGTACGGCCCGACGTGAAGAAGCCTGAGAGTCGGAGCCTGAGGCCTGCTTAATTTTCTGTGTGGGAGAGGGTAATGTCTCCGCGCCAGGTAAAAATGTTTTGTCAGTTCGCTATACGAGATGGGAGGGTTTCGGTTCCCCGAAACGTCAGCATTGCTCCCCGTGATAGCTACGTGGTTTGCTAGTCCTCGCACAGCTATGTGGGCTGACTCTTTGTGATTGCGCGGGGCTTCCTCAATGCGTTCCAGGTAAGCTGGGAAGAAAACGGTGAATCACTTTAATTGACAGTATCAATAGGAAGTAATTGTGTGCGAAAAGCGTGTGCTAGGCCAAAGTACGGATAGTTTTCCGAGTTTAAATTGCAATGAAATAAAGGTATGAGTTCAGCACGTTAGATCTGCGTTTTTCCCTCTCGATCCTTGTATCGTGTTTGCGCTGAGTACTATACAAGGGAGGAACGAAATTGAATTAATTATCGACAGGAAGGCTGGAAGCGCGTTCCCGCAAAGCACTTCTCTGGATTGAATTGAAGTGACCTCCATCCCTATTGCTAGTTAGTCTAAGCCAGGCGCCTGTGACCTGCTCGGAAAGAAAACAGCAGCAGCACATAAAAATCGTTACAAATGAAGCTTCGCCAAATAATTCATCAGCATAACGATCTTCCTCGGATTCAAAGAACATTGCATGCTTTGCCAGGCCTCCTGGTGTGGCGGTAGCACAACGCCTTCGAAACCTAATTGTAATGCAAAATAAAACCAAAGAGGGCCTCGGGACACCTGTTCGGACCAGGACATGTAATTTGCGGATCTGCGTCACCTTCCAGTGGGAGAAAAAGTTCAGTGGAGCTACAGACCCCGGGCTTCACCGTTAGTCCTTGAACTCTCGTTTACCGCCTTCTCTAAGATAAAGCCTCATATTTCTGCTCGCTCATGTGTTTAGTATTCAGCGGCAATCGGTATATGGAAATTCGTGGTACCTTGTTCGCGTCCGGGTGGCGGTGTCTCGCGAACGTCGCGAAGAGGGCGCTGCCGAGTCTGTGCCGTGCAGTCGCGGGCTGCCCGAGGGCTTCTTGCCGGTCATGCCGCTGCTCGCCGGGGCCGACGACGAGGATGACGCACCCGTCCTGTCCATGTGGAAGTAGACGTGCGTGCTGAGGTGCTTCGTGAAGCCCGCCATGCGAACGGGCCATCAGCGAGCTTGGCGACAGAACCCTGTAGCCGCAAAATAACATTCGCCTTAGGTTGTTTACGAGGCCGGAAAGGTACCCAGAAATCTATTGAGAAACAGCTCGCCAGTTAATCTCAGAATAGTTTACAGCGTATGAACAGAAGAAAAGGACACAGTGCAGAACTCAGTTGTGAGGTGAGCGCTGTTTTTTTCTTTTTTCTGTATCTGCCCCATCGCGCTGGTAATTATTTTACGATCCACATCCATCAATTTGCCCAAGTCGCGATTCCGCTTCATTTGTTATTCCTTCAGCAAAAACTAAAGTTAACCCATAAGTCACTTACCAACTACTGATTGCCAGTTCAGTTACCAAAGCCATAGGTGGCAACACCAAGGATATATTAGTGAAAGCTTGTAGTGTTTCATCAGTTTACGCCATCGTTAGAACAGAATTTTTTTGTGTCGCATAGTGTCTGTGTCGATGGAAATGTATAAAAGCGCGGCTAATAAACAATTTCTTTACTCTTAACTCTTGCAGTTCAGTAGAATATTACATGACGGTCACTGCATATTTAGCTACTTTTGTACCTGCCGAAAATTATCATAAGATTTTGCTACCAGCGTAACTGACGCCGTCTATTTCTCTGGCAAGACGGTAATTGTCCAACAGGAGCAAGTTTTTGGGCAAACTGAAGCTCTTTGTTTATGGTGAATACCAGGGTTTGCACCAGATGTGAGCTATTTTAATTTTACTGTATATCCTGAGTGGTAGCAAAAAGTGCACACGCAACCACAAGTGGAGAGGTACAAGACGGCAAAAAAGTCTCACTCGTCCTTCTCGACCGGCAACCTGATTCAACTGTATGCCTGCCCATTCTCTATAACGCTTCCTATATGTAGCGGCGCTTCGAATCCTTTAATGCTGTAGGCCCGTCTGCTCAAATTCGGGTGTACGTTAATGAACCCTACGTATAGTCGACACTTCCGGAGCCCTTCACTATGGCGTCTTTCCTAATCTCATGATGGTTTCGGGACGTTAAACCCACATATCAACCATTAATCGAATTGAACTAATCTGCAACTCCTACAGACCTCCCGTCAGGCAACGCACCGTTGCCGAACCTTAACGTAGAAGCTGCGACCGATATCCTCAACATGCGCCGTGCCACTGTTGGTGACTCAGCGATGCAGTGTTCCGTCACTCGGCCTCGCGCTGCAGATCATGCAAACGTTTGTGGCTGACAGTTCATTTTGATACGAGAATGGGCGAGGTTAGGAGGAGGAGGAAGGGAAGAAAAGAAAGGCAGGGAGGTCAACCAGACGCACGTTCGGTTTGCTACCCTGCACTGGGGGAAGGAATGAGGGGATTGAAAGGCTTGTACTTAAGCTTACGAACCCAAGAGCATCGCAGCGTCCAGGCCAAACAGGAAGACGCCCTCTGGGCAACCCACGGCTTGGCCCACTCGGTGACAGCCACTGCGCCCCGTTTCTTCCTCACCCTCTCCTTCCGCGTGGTTCGCTGATACGCCGACAGATGGCGGAGGATGATGTGGGGCCTTCGCCACTAGCAAGGATCCTTCGGGGATGTACGCTGACGTCACGCTCCCTCACGCGTCGTCAAAGTTGATGCACGGCAGCTAGCTGGGAATCGTGACATTTTGGCTAGCATGGTGTTCCTGTAATGAATAAGGACAGAGTTCCGGATATTAGACTGTTTTGCTATAGCAGCTTTTTTTTTACACGCAGTTGCTTACCCATTGTTACTGAAGTGCAAGCAAATGAATGTCATTTTATAATGCATAATCGTTTCTGATTTTTTATTTTTATCAATGACCAAAATAATGCGATGCTAATCTAACGTGACGGCTTAAAAAGCACAGTGATGTGGTATAAGGGCACGCATAGTCTTACAGACACGCAACAAAACCTCACACATGCGACGGGCATACGCGAACAATCAAACTCCTGGAATAAGATTCTTAGTTTAAACAAAGTTTTTTATTGAACAAAATGTGTTTTCTTTCTAATGTCCTTTATTTTACACCCGATGCCTAAATCTCTAATAATTAACTGTCAATATTTGTATATTAAGCACATATTGAAAATCTTCGGCTCAATAAATTACGCATAGTTACTTTTGTTTTCGGCCCGTGCAATCATTATTAATAGTACTTTGATTGCTATATGCGTTGCTCACTATAGTTAGCGAGTGTATCATTGTAGAGCTGATTGGGACACACATATTCAGTTACGCTCTAGCAGACCAAGGCTTAGTGCGAGAAAGTCTCTAACTGTTACGTCCCTCGTGGTGATTGCAATTGTATCGACTGTAACAATACATTTCATCAAACAGCGAGGCTAAGCCACACTACAAATTGATGCATTGGTGAAATTCGACGTCGTCAGAGCACTTCTGACCAAATAACATCACATATTTGCATGCCGCATGCTATAACGTTACTGGTACGCACACCTACACTCTACTTAAAATGTGTTTGTCACGTAAGATTGTGTTCTGAGTGTGAAATTCACGGATAATAGATTCAAAAGAATCGCCGCACTCTGGTGAACACAGAGAAATCCGGAGGCACTCTGGGCTCACAACATCAACAGATGATCACGTGTAATGACGTGGTCCACTCACATCGACCATGGTACAATGACTCCTCACAGGCAAAAGTGTGGCGCAGACGAGGGCATTGAGACATTCGTGCTGCATCATTCTACGCAATGAATATCAGAACCGTCAGACGCTCATCTTCGCTCAACATTTACCTGCCGATAGTGCAAGGAATTTGTGGCCTTTATACAACCAGTCATCACAACCATTGCCCACATCATTTGTATCTTGTACTGGTGCTCTTTAACCATCACATGACTTTTGCCGCATTAAAGACCACGTATCATCATCAAGCAGATCTTCGATCTTGATGTAGTTAACCTCCCTACTCAAGATCGAAGATCTTGAGTAGGGAGGTTAACTTGTCTACGTCCACTTTGTTACCCTGCAAGTGGGTAGAGGGGAATAAGGAAGCAGAATGGAGACACAGGTGCACATTGTGATTCCCCCCTTTTAAGGCGCTACGGCGTCTCTCATAATCATATAGTGGTTTTGGGACGTTAAACCCCACATATCAATCAATCAATCAATCAATCAATCAATCAATCAATCAATCAATCAATCAATCAATCAATCAATCAATCAATCAATCAATCAATCAATCAATCAATCAATCAATCAATCAATCCCTTTTAAGGCGCGGCAGAGAACCTGTACATTGCACTCTTTTCAGGTACAAAAACGTCGCATGAAACTTGAGCCATTTTCGAAACAACTTGAAGTTGTCAAGTAGCTACACCTCTTTCCTCTCCTTTTTTATGCGAGTCTGTTCTATTTTATCCCCCGCCACTCTAGGGCATGCTGCACCTATCTTATAGTGTCGCGCACCCTCCGGGTTTCAAGAATTGCAAGCTTCCCGGCCCTCGCATTGTTTTGCACAACCTTCTTGATCGGCGTGCTTTTGAACACATGACGAAGTCGTGCGATGACGTCACACAATGATGTCATTGTAATGCCTGGTGATTTGTGACGTCAATGATGGCGTACTGTTATATTGAGGTCATGCGGTTTTTTTGCATGCTTGCTGCACACTTACTATAGTATTGCGCGGCTTTTGTACGACTATTGCTGCTTTGTCCTTTTTTATCCCACCTCCCTCGTCTTGATGCTGGCGCCACCGACAGGGTCTCGCGATGCATCGCCAGGTCTCGTACAATATTAGAAAAAAACTTTTTCCCTCGAGAAACGTATAGCGAAAGAGAAACAAACTTTATTTTTGACCAAGTTCTTTGTACTTCAGTCCTAGGGTGGATGACCTTCTAAGCCCAGGTAGCCATGGCTCGCTGCTGCCGCCCAAGGCCTGTTAACTAACCACAGCTGGTTGTCAAAGTTTTGCATCATCAACAGAGCCTTCCACTGGTCTTCAAGTTCCTCTGGGTCCGCTTCCTTCTCTTCGTTTTGACTTGACGACGACGACGATGGTAAGTGCGGATCGTTTTCACACTTCAGCGCCATTCATTGATCTTCGACATGAAACGCAGTAGTATGCTTTACCTGATATTCTATTTTTTTTTTTTGCACGTACAAATTTGTTCCTCCAGAACAAGGCGCTGTAACGCTTCTGGTGGTTCACACTTGCCAGAGACGTCTTGTTCGATCGTGTTTGTCTACATGAACTTGATTTAAAAATAATCATCCATCGGACTCACGCATGTGCTCCGTCGTCCGCTGCCAAAGTGTGTGAATCGATGATAGCTGAAGCCGTGACGCGTAAAATCTGAACCTGGCACGTGTCCACATCGGAGGGAGTGATGCAACAACAAATGGGAAGTCACGCTTCACACCCACGGAAGCGTTGAAAAGAATGACGGCCTTTCAAAACGAAAGCCCTGTCTCCATTCGGTGCCGACCAGGGAGGAGCCAAGCCAGGAACTGTTTGTATTTTTGGAGGTTCGTGTTTAAAGCAAGTGCTGCGCCCCCTGTTTACGTTCGCGACACTGCTTCGAGAAGAATAACATGGACAGCTGGAAGGACTTAGTTGATGTAGATGACTCAGTCATTGTACATTTACGTTGGTATGTTGAAAGTGGATAACTGCAACAACGCAGGCTCATTTGCTTTATGCCGTTACGCTGCTGCATCCGACGTCGTGAGCTTGCTTCCAGGCAGCAGTGACCATCGCTTGATGCGTGTAATTAGTGACATTGCTTCGAGCACTTAGATTTGGGTTGAGTCAAAGGCAACCACCATATGATGTGAAGAATCCCCAAAGTACCTCCTGCCGCATACCAGCTGCATGGTTCCAGTAGCCATGTGGAACCTCGCTGCTTGTTCCTGCCCAGCCATTCTTCCTCTTTATGGTCGATGATTTAGGTTGCCAAGGCCTATGAATCGAGATTGAATTAGTTTTGAAAACTCGGGGCAATGTTAACCTTATGTTTTTCGAAGGCGTTGTGACATCGGGCAAGTTAGAAAAGCGGCAACATGAAGGTATAATCAGCGATATCACTTTAATTACCATGGGTATGCAGCAATGTTCTTTCAAATTCTGAAAGTAGATATTTCAAGAGAAAGCATAGATACTACAATAAATTTGAAAGATGGCAATCGGCAACCCCCCTTCTCCCCCATAAATTTGAGCGCATGACAATGTCCACACATTTATTTATGAAATCTTTATTAAAGAAACTGTTGCGATTCGTCGGGGGTTTTTTAGGTGAAAAGGTGTTGTAAATTGCTTGAAAGTGCCTGAAGGTCCTTTCGTCGTCATGATCATCAGCCGAATTACACACACTGCAGGACCGAGGCCTCTCCCACGATCAGCCAGTCGAACCGGTCTTGTGCTTTCTGCTGCCACGGTATACCTGCGAACTCTTTAATCTCATCGGCCTTTCTAACTTTCTGTATCCCCTTCGTGTGTTTGGCTTCTCTGGGAATCCAGTCAGTTACCCTTAAAGACCAGCGGCTGTTTCGCCTACGTGCCCGGCCCGTGTCCATTTCTTCTTGACCTCAACTATATCTTTCACCCCGGTGTGTTCCCTGACCCACTCTGCTCTCTTCTGGAATCTTGAGGTTGCACCTACCATTGTCTTTTCCATCACTCGCTGCATCGTCCTCAATTTAAGCTGAACCCTCTTTGCAAGCCTCCAGGTTTTTGCTCCGTAAGTACAAGTACCGGAAAGATGCAGCTGGTATATACCTTCTTCTTGAGGGTTACTGGTAAATTACCATTCATGATCTGAGAATGCTTGTCAAATGCGATCCATCCCATACTTATTCTTCTCGTTATTTCACTCTCATGGTTTGGCTCTGCGTTTACTCGTCCTAAGCAGACATATCCCTTTACAGCTTCCGGCGTCTCCCCACTTATCGCAAAGCGTTGTTTTCTGCCGAGACTGTTGCACATTGCTTTAGTTTTGTGCATAATAGTTTTAAGACCTACTCTTCTGCTCCCCGTGTCCAGTTCAGCAATCATGAGCTGTAATTCGTCCCTGAGTTACTCATCAGTGCAATGTCATCAGCGAATCACAGGTTACTAAGATGTTTTCAAGTACTTTATCCCTAACTCTTCTCAATCTAGGGTCCTGAAAACGTTGTGTAAAAACGCGGTGAATAGCATGGGATAGATAGTTTTTCCCTGCCTTACACCCTTCTTTACTGGGATTCGGTTGCTTTCTTTATGGAGAACTATGGTGGCTGTCAATCAATCAAACAATCAATCAATCAATCAATCAATCAATGAAACTTTATTTTCATGAATAGATATATCTAATTATAGGGATTATTTGGACCGATAGCCTAAAGTGGCTAGTGGACGGTCCAATACAATGTGCAACATAAAAAAGTGTACAGGTCAGCTCTGAGGTAACATAAAAAAAACAAAAAACAAAAAAACAATCATATAATACAGATAA